GACTCTGGAATATGGAATGGGGCTTTTCATGTAGATTTGCATAATAAATGTAAACTTATATTATGGCTCACAAGTTGAATAATGAATTAGGTGTGACATTAGGCAGATGTTCAGGGGGAGGATGGACATGTTTTTGTGCGTGCATGTGTCATTTTGGTTTAGGGGAACAGAGTGTGAAGATGCAGGGTTTGTAGGAGTTGGTTATTTTGCCTTAATCTCCGTGCATTATTAGAGGAAAGTCATGCACACAAACATACACCATAATGTTATACAAAAATTTTTAAAAACAATTGCAAATGCTTTACATACTTATGTGAGGCTATAGGACCGCAAAAACACACACACATACACGCACAGCCTGGTCATTCAATCATCATAAATAATACAGCTGCAGAAGTAGAACATTTCTTACTTCCGTCATGTACATACACACTCAGCAGTGCTACCTTGGGTCAGTACTCAATTATTACTAAGCACACCTGTAATGAACTGGACATTCATGATTATTAGATGTGTAGGCAGAGAGTTCTTATGCAATATGTAATTCAGCAAACTGTGTGCTTTGCTGAGGAACAGCTGTTACTGACCTTAAGGACTTTTATTTCTGACTTTAATTCTGAGAAACTGTTTCGCATGGACACATTCTTACATCAGCATCCTTTGCTGATCATGTAAAATCATCGTTCAGTCAGCTTTACCCTTGACACCAATGTTTCTCAGCCTTTTTGACTGTCTTTTTGATTGGTCCCCAATGTACAGTAGGCTGTGATTTTCACAATATAATATTTGAAATAGTAATAATTCAATGGATCCTTGCTAAAAATGATTAATTCCTATCAATAAAAAGTATTAATATTATGTAATGTATTTTAAAAGACTCCAAACTTTCGATTGGTAGTGTATGTTATTTTAATTTTTTGGGGGGGAAAAAATTGGAAGTTAGCTGAGGCCCCCTAGTGGGTCCCCTGGTCCTAAACCCACCCAAAATTCTTACTTCTAACAAGCCATTTGTGTGTCCACACTGACACTTCAGATGGTATTTGATGTTTAATACAGAGAAAGATTTTAGACCAGTGAGATTTCACAGTGGGCAGGGCTAACCAACACGACAAATTCATGTATTATACGGTATAATAACTGATGTATAATTGGACCATCAAAATATCGGCCATCAAAGGTATTTGTCTATAAATGTGTGCTGCTTAGATAAATCATGTTAAGTTTGTGGTTCCATATGTATAATGTGAGTCGGTGATGCTGGCTGTTCCTAATTCTATCTCTGTGCCTCGCCATCAGTGTGAAGTGCCAGAGGGTTTGTGCCGTGGTTGATGATAAGGGTTTTGTCATGGTTTTATTTAGCCCGCTGTGACCCTGTATTAAGGGCAAGGAGAAGGGGAGAATTGCAGATTTAAAGAAATGTGCTGAAGCCAGACACACAGTGAGAGACTGAGAGAGAGGAAAGACACATTGGGGAGGAGAAGATACAAAGAGTACTGTTAAAGATAAAAAACAAAGGGTAGAATGTAAAGAAGGTAAAAGAGTGTTTGTCAGTCATCTCCATTCAAGACAAGTCACAAGCCAGCCTCACACGACGCAGAGCGAGGAGAGAATACGGTCCGGTGAGGAGCCTGTCATAAATATATCCTACTCACATTATCTGCAAGATGTCTAATGTAGCCTTGTATCCGCAATAAGATCTTGCTCTCTTTTACCCACAAACAGAAGCTCACTGAAACATGCAGAGAATGTTAGAGACTAGTGATTAGCACACATTTTTGAATGGTAGTGTATCTGATTTAAACTTTAATATTTTGAGTGGTTGGTTTGGTCTGTTTGTGTGTCAAACCCAGTTGTGTTGTATAAGGGGGCTTGTTGTGTTGTCACATTTGGTTTTGTCCTGAATTCAGTTGGTGTCTCTGTTTTGTTTCTGCATGCTACACGTAACAAGTACTGAATACATTTCAGCTGTTTTGAATGCACATTTTAACATTTGATTCATATAAACTGCAGTCTGTTTTGTCTTCATGCTAATCTGTTGTCTGTTTCTAATCAGAAATCCCTCGTTAGAGGAGATGGAAGGTCACAGGTTTGATTCCCAGCACTTCCAGTTGAGGTGAGCGACTTAAGTGAGCCATCGTTTGGGTCCTGAATGTTCAGTTATGTCCTTCTGCACAACGCACGCTTCCCACAGCTTATTCTGTTTTTGAATCCTAGAGACTGGATTGTTTGTGTAAAATGAGACGGCGACAGTCAGATATGTAATTTTGAGAGTTCAAAAGTGATTGAGACAGAGGGAATGAATGAAAGGTCCCTGGATGTCAATCCCTGGGGAGTCTCCTTACACTGGCATGACAGTATTAACAGAATGTTAATTATTAAAAGCAAATATTGAAAATCTGAGGGCTAATTGAAGATGCTGAGTTGAAGAATGGTGAAACTGAAATAGTCCATTTTAAAAATTGTAACATTAATTATCAAAGCTAAATGTTGAATTAACCACTTGCATTTCTTTCCTTGTTCCTCCCACTTCCACTGCTATGTTTTTCACCCTCTCTCTCTATCTTTTGATCTATCTTTTCCTCTCTCTGTTAGTGGTCGACCGATATG